CCAGCTYGTGCTGGTGGTTAAATCATGCCCTGGCACCAGTTTCATCCATAAGGAGCAAGGCAGAAAATMCAGATTAAAGCTGGCCCAAGAATAGGCTCCAGCAAGCAACACATCACTGCTGTCCCAGTGCAAACTGGAGTCTCTTTCCAAGTTCCCTTCTAAGGTAATTATTGTTTTGGAAATTAGAGAAGAGGCTGCTTGATTCCATTTAAACTTCATTCATGCCTTCCCCCTGGGGATGTCTGGATGTTTGGAGGAAAAGAAAAAAGAAGGAAATTTCCCCTTTGGAAGGTAGATAAGGGACCCCATCTTATCCTCACCAGGTTCATGGCTCTTTCCATTTTGTGACATCAGGTGTAACCCAAACTGGCTTCCTCTGCAGCTATTTCCTCTTTCCTCTCCAGTTTGGAGTTTCACAAGTCCTTTGTTCCTCCCAGAAGGGTTTYTGCTCATCAAAGGGACCCTGGAGCTATATTCACTGCATGTTTCTGCAGTGACTAAGGCCATGGCTAGACTTCACGTTTAAAATCACATTAGTTTACTTTTTAAACATTCACATTTGTCACGGCTTAACACCTGGAAAATCTGCTTTCAGGACATGGCAAATCTTGGAGTTTTCTGCAGAAATGSAGCCACAAGAGCCTGAATCCCAGCAGGAATGCTGTGCCAGCCCGAGCTGAGGTGCCAGCAAAGGAACACATCTTGGGAGAGGGGAAAAAAGGGACTCCCTGCCCCAAGAGATGCAGCCACTCCTTCTTTTTGCTCCTCAGAAGGTGTTTATAGATGCTCTGATTCTGCTCTCTTTATCTCACATGGCAGGCTGCAAAGTAAACCTACGAGTACAAACATCACTGGGAAATAAATACAAGTGTTAAATAGGTAATTTATCCTCCCAAATCTCAGTGTGACACTTCAGCTGTTAAACCCAGCTTCCACTCCAGCTTAATGCCACGGGGGTTTTGCTGAACTCCACTTGGAGTTGCTCAGACTTTTTATTAGAGATACAAACTGCCGTGGATTCTGTTCCTTTCTGGAGAAGAAATGATTCATGAGCAAATAAATCTGCCACCCTTAGAATATAGGAATTATGAAATACAACTGTTTAAGGAGTTTGAGGCTGGTGCTCTTCTGTGTATTGTGGCTGCAAAGTATGAGCTATTTACTATTTCTGTCTCTAGGCTGGTTATACTAAATCTCATGGCAATATTTTCCTCCCAAAATGAATAACTCAGTCTTGGAGTGTTGGTGAGGAGAAATGAATGAACTCTTCAAAATATTTGTTCYGAAGGGGAATTATTAATGCACAAGTTAATGAAATACATGGATACATCATTAATTCTTGGCCTTTGCCTTGTGTTGCTTGACAAAATGCAGAGGCCCCAAAATCATAATTTAAAAATTCACAGACGTTCAATAAAAAATGCGGCTTGACTTCATCTGCTAGAAAGCATTTTACTGGGGCACCAGCGAGCCAGCAGTGGGAGACTGAAGGATATTCTTTTAATTGGTTAAACCTCTAAGTGCTTTATAATTGCTTTCTCTAAGCAGCTTCTGCAACAGAGCAAATGCTACCTGGAGCTGATTACATTTTAATAGGCTTAGCCAACGTCCATCCAGGGACGTGCAAAGMCTCCCCTTGATGTCCATCAATTTGTCTCAATGTGGTTATCAGGGCTTGGCTGTGCCATTCAATAATTCCTGCCTCCCTTCCATCCACGTGGGACGRGTCTGACAGGCAGACAGGAGGTGCTGAGAGCTCCTTGGAGGAGAAGGGGCTGCAGGCAGGTGAGTTGGTGGGGATGTCATAAAACTGTCCCCTTTTGTGAAGATATTTTGGCTGAACAGAGCTTTCATCCTGAGCCAAGGTCAAATGCACCCTGATTTTTGAGCAGCTGAGAGAATTGGGGTTGTTTATCCTGGAGAAGAGAAGGCTCTAAAAATAATTTAGTGCAGCCTGAAGGAGCTCCAAGGAGTCTGGAGAGGGACTTTGGACAAAGGCAGGGGGTTACAGGACAAGAATGGTTTTAAACTGAAAGAAGGAAGGCTTAGACTGGATATTAAGTGGAAATGGTTCCCTGTGAGGGTGGGGAGGCCCTGGCACAGGGTGCCCAGAGAAGCTGTGGCTGCCCCATCCCTGGAAGTGTCCAAGGACAGACTGGACAGAGCTTGGAGCACCCTGGGATAGTGGAAGGTGTCCCTGCCCATGTCAGGGGGCAGGAATGAGATGACCTTTAAGGTCCTTTCGCACCCAAATTATTCTGTGATACCGTGATTGTTCCATTGGGTGTGTGTACATGTAAATATTTAAGAATTATTTAGAATTTTATCAAGTGGTCGGTGTATCAGGCTGAGCAATCAGAGAATATTCACACTTCTGTGCAGCATCACACAGCTCTGGGAGACTCAGCATTCCAGGGCTCCAACAGAGCCAAGGAATGGCAACACAAATTGGAGGTGGTTTAAGGGGAGGATTTGGAAGGATGAAGTGGGATATGAAACCTCAGTGGAAGGTATTTTTAACAACAGAACCAACAGAAGTCRTTGCCCTGTTATCCTCACAAAAAAAAAGCTGGGAAGCTGCCAGTGCCTGGAGCTCTCTGGATCCTCACACCTGGTGAAGGCTGACAGCAGAGGGGGAATTACAATCAGRAATCTCAGGCTCACTGATTTAATGAGGCGGCTCCCAGGCAACAGCCCCGACACATTCCCTGATCCTGATCACCCTCATTATTCTGTACATGGCCAAGGTCAGGCAGAGCCAAGAAAATACAMAAATGCTACCAAAAAGGAGGAAAACGCTGTTGTGGATGTTTTGAATTCGACTGTTAGCCTGGCCRCTTTTAGCCCTTATTTCAATATAAACAAATACTTAATCTCAGTACAGGAAGCAAAGAAGTTTTTTGCCACTCTGATCTTACCCAACAGCTCTGCACACCATGAACTGCAAAATCTTGTTTTCTAAGCATTAGTTCTACAAGTTCTGAAATGTTAAACCTAAATCGTCTACCTCTGTACCTCAGGCCAAAGTTTGCTTTTGGAAATGGAAAAATGGAAAATACTTTGACCCCTATGAAGCTCTGGTACTGCGCCAACAGTTTTATTAGAGGGCACAAGAGTCATGTTTCTTTCTCCACGTTCTTCCACAAATGAGCTCAGAGTCTATTCATTATTTTGGCAGTCAGGGATGCCAGGATAAATTATGTGCATCCTTGTGTCTCTTTTGCTACTTTTCAGACAGCTCAGAGACCTGGGTTATTAAATTATAAGTCATGAGGAACAGCTGACAAAAGTGAATGTGAATCAAGCACCTCCACTAATCAAGTGCATCTGAAAAATTGAAATGCAGCAAGATTTCACTCCCATTTGCTAGAAAAAAAGAAAGCATTTYTGCACGGTGGAGTGAATCACAGACAAAAGTGAGGGAGGGTTTTTGTCTCTGCTGATCTTCAGCACAGAAATGCAAGAAGCAGCTGCCCTGTCATTGCCTTCSCTGCAGGGAGGGGAGCTCAGTCCTGCTGCTGGGGTGGCCCTGAGGAGATGCCTGGAATATTTGGGTATCTCTACCCGGGGGTGCCCCACGGTGCCACATCTGACCCACTTTTGAACCCTTTCAGGATCCAGACCAAAACCCTCCCTTTTGCTGAATATTCTCAGCTTTTGCAGTACGCAACAAAACCAAAAAATTTGCCTGGAGAAGAAAAAGATGAAGCAGAAGAAGATGAAAAAGAAAATTATGCTTATTGTTCAGAAAGGGAAGGGCTGATTTCAGTGCCTCAGAGGAGAGGTGGCCCTGTGGGTGAGGGGTGCACTTCCTCCAGTGCTGAGGGATGCCAGGTGTAAATTTAGGTTTCTCTCTTATTATTCATGAAGAGCTCTCTCTYCTTGATGATCAAAGGGGATACAATGCTAAAAGGAGAGAGAGAGGTGTGAGGTGGTGCWGCACGAGTGAGAAAAGGCAGCTTCTCACTTAATGGCAGCAGGGAGAAGTGTTAAAAAACAGAAAAGGATAGYGGGGAGCAGAGTCCTTGGAGGCTCCGTGGGGAAGCTGCGCTCCCTCCTCATCCACCCGTGGATAACAGTTCATTGGGCTGCAGAGACAGTAAACAAACACAGTCCAACAACATAATTGTGGGGAATTTAATGTCCTCAGGGGTTTTATTTCCTTTTTCTCAGTRGGTGTTCCCTGGAGTGGTGTTGGAAGCTGGGATGCACACAGTGGCTCACCCATGGCATGGGCAAGGAGTGCTGCATGGGGTGAATTCCTTGTGAAAAACAGATGGAAAAATGTGATGGAGGCTCCTGGTGCCTTCTCTAGGGATTCATCTGCTTGTTGGAAATGTGGGCTTGGCACTTGAGCTACCAAGGTGCCTCAATCCTGGATGTGTTCAAGGCCAGGCTGGATGGGGCTCTGATGTGCTTTAGTGGAAGGTGTCCCTGGTTGGAGCTTGGTGAGCTTTCAGGACTTTCCAACCCAAACCATTCCAAAAGCCTGTCAGAAAGCTTTCTGCTAACAAACTCTCCCCACCAAATGTTCACAACCACTCTGGGCAAACCTTGTTAGCTATTTTGGGTCCTTTTTTTGAACTGCTTTTGCTTTATCCTCTGYAAATTTAAGCTACCAGACTCTTTGGTCTCCTCCTCAGCTTGTTTAATCAAGACATCCAGAATTTTGCAGCACAGCTCAATTCCTGAGTGCAGAATCTTTTATTTAAGCTCTGTCTGAACCAAAGCTCCACAGAAAAAGGGAAGCAGTGAAACAATTACGTGCAAGGCTTAAATTGCTGTTGACTAAATCATTAAAATGCTGGGTTGTTTTCCTGGGTTGTTTTAAAGAGCGAGCAGGTCAGCTCTTTAACTTCACAAACCAACAAGCCAAGACAAAAGGAGAGGGTGCTTTGGGTGAAAGCGTTGACCAATTTCAACCTGTCCAAGTGACATTTAGACACCCACAGGCAGTTTTTGCAGTACACAACGAAACCAAAGAGGAAGGCGATACTCACGCAGGACCCTGACKCCGTGCTTCAGGGCTTGCACCCTGCTGGGCTCCATGGACATGCTGAGCATGGTCTGCTGCCCACCAATGGTGCAAACCTGGTTCTCCTGGGCCGCCTGCTTGAACATCACCAGCAGCTGGTTGGCGATGATGGTGTTGAGCACCGAGATGACCACCATGGGGAACACGAAGGAGATGAAGGTGTTGACCTGCAGGGGAGAGGTGGGGCACAGTCAGATCCGGGGGTGGGATCAGCAGAGCAGGAGGTTGGGTTTTATTTTTCGAAGCAGTAGAGGGGAAATCTTTCCATTGCCTGCAGGGGAAATCTTTCCCTTCCTCTTACTCAGCTGGTTTTGGCTTTTGGAGGTTTATTGTGCAGAGGGAGAACTCAAACTCTGCTGACGCATGTTCRTTCATGTGGGTCAACACCCAAAAAAGGCAAATTAATTCATACCCAATTACACTCTTTTCCCCTTTTCAGTGCAGTTCATTGCCAGAAATGTCTCGATTGAAACATGCCATTGATCTTTTCATCTCACAACCAGCAGGATGCTGCTTAGCTTTCATCATGCGTAACGTGACTTCTAAATAACAGTACATTATTGTCTTTTTCCTGAATTATGAGCACTCCTTGGGATCTTTTAAACTCTCCTTTTTTTTTTTTTTTTGTCTTATGCCCTTTCCTCGTAGATTTAATGGCAGCATTTTGTTATCTTATAACTAAGTTATATAAACCTTGTGCCTTCAAGGATTAAAATTGATCAGAATAAACAAGTGGAAGTCGTAATGGTTTTAGTACAAATTATTTGATTACTACAGTTTTGATACAATTAAATGGAGGATCAAATTAAGCAGTGATTGAATCAAGTAGAAGTCACCGTTCATGCCAAATACAGGAAAGCTTTTGGGCTGTTTAGAAACCTCAGTGGAACTGAGCTTAGCAAAGGGCAGCCCAGGGAAACTGAGGCACGTGTAGGATCTGCCTGTAAATCTGCATCAAACCTGCCATGGTGGGATTGGGAGTCTGCTGTATGTCACAGGAGGAGACCCAGAACATCACCCAGGTGAGTGTGGGACAAATCAATAGCCCTTTAAATTTTTAGGATTTCAAAATTTTGACAAGAATTAAATTGTGCTCCAAATCRCTGCAAAAGCAATTGTAATAAAARTGATAAAATGACAAAAGGATGAAAYTAGGAAACTCAARAGGGARTTTTCTCAGTGGGAGGGSTCCAAGGCAGGATGAYYTCCTCCAGATAACCTCTTATCTTTCACCTCAGTGCTGTATAACCCAGAACAAGCCCGTGCTCCATGACAGCACCAGGTCCCTGTGCAGATTGCAAAAGCTCACCTAGAGAGAGTTCTCCATCTGCTGGGATGGAAACATCCCCTCTCCACCCACCCACCCCCTCTGGACCATCATCACGGTGAACAGGGTTTGCTGTAAACCCAAGGTCTGCTGCAGATTTGTGATGTCTCTGCTCTGGAGAGATCCAGAAACGCTGGAGCTGAATGGAAATCACCCAACTGCACCCCAAAATGCTGCAGGGGATCCATAAAAGAAATCAGCATTGCCTGAGCACATGGGAGCAGGTGCACATCAGCTGCACTTCACTTTCTGTTCCCGTAAATCTGAAGCAGAAAGTCCTCTTTGGGTGAGGACAGGCGCTGTCCTTGCCCAAGTTATTTTTTGTTTTTGGACCAAGGCCCAGGTTATTTTTTGGTTTTGGACAGCTCCGGAGCTCAGGGCAGCAGCCCCAGCTGGGTTTTGTCTSTCACCCACACGCTGAGAACATCCCCTCCCGTTTATGATGATCACAGAGCTGCTGTGAGGGCTGAGCCAATTCCTCGATACACCCCACCACTGCGAGCTGCTAATGGCCTCTCTTGTTAAGTGTAAAGCAGTTTTCTACGCTTCTAAAAGATCTCACAGCCTCCTGCAGCAGGGAAGAGTTATCTTTTGGAGTTGCYTCTCATTAAGCAGTAAAGACCAACAATTTAACCTTGACGATGCAGCCAGGCTGAGCTGGTACACACAGGGGTGAAATAATTGCTCAGATTTACCGGGTCAGACTCAGAAATGAACCCTGTAGCTCCTCACTCCAATTTCTGTGGCTTTAGCTKCAGAATGCCCTTCTTTCCCTCTGCTGAGCAATGTTTGCACATCAACAAAATGCAGCACTTAACTCTGGAAATGTTTCACTCTCACCTGAGATKCAGGAGTTATTGGTTTTCATTCTAAAATGTTGCCCTAGCTGTAAATTAGACTGGCTTGATAAAATTTTGCAGAACTCAAAAAGTCTTTTCTGAGCTTTCTTAAAAGCCTCGTTTCATTCCATAACTGCATTGTGAAATCTTCTAAAGAGCTGGGGAAATTGGCTAGAATAGCATTGACTTTCCTTTTGGAAAGGAATTGTTATGGTAAAAGTGGGAATATTGCATACTTTCTATCAAAGGCTGTATTTAAGATTTTTTTTCTTCCCTGCCTTGATTTGTAGCAAAACTCTCATACAATAAAAAAATAATAATAAAAAAAAAAATCAATTTTTTTTCACAGTAGCAGAATGGTTTAATTTGTTGAAAGATTTATTTGCAAACACAAAGTCCTGAAGAGCATAAAGGCTTGAAAAGCCAATCTCCCCAAGCAACCCTTTTGTATTCCCTGTTTTTCTGTGGAGCTGCTGGAGCCCAGAGCTCRGCACACTGAGCACATCAGTGCAGCAACACTTCATTTTCAGGTGACTTTGCTCKCTGCTGGAGCTGGTGCCTCCAACAACTCTTAAAAGTCAGTGGGAAATCTTCCACTTCCTCAAGAAGAGCTGGTCTGGGATCTCAGGACTACATACTCAAAAGTTCAGGAGCAGGAAGACTTGTGGAGGTGTTTAATGGGATTTTTTACAGTGTTTCCTAACATCAGTGGGCTAAAGTGGCTACAGCTGTCAGTGAACACCCATGGGAGCCTTTGGAGCTTTACAGATCTTTGCAGATGGTTCTGGCCACAGGAAAGAGGATTTAGAGAGTGTGCAGGCTCATTTTTGACCTGAAATCTCAGATTTACGCTGGCTCACTGCAGCAAGGGCAGAGTCTGCACTAATCCTATGTTTGGGGTTGTTTGGGTGCTCAAGCACARGGGTCTGGCCTCACCTCTGCCCTCCCCAAGCACAGCTCAGTCTGATTCTCTCTCCATCCAAACTGGTGTGTTTGCACCAGAGCAAACCCCCACGAGCCCAGCAGCACAAGGAGCAGAATGAGCTCTGTGCAGGAGGAAAGGCTTAGCCCTGGCTGCTCTCTAGGCTAAAAAAACACACCACACACCCCGTGACTGTCTGTTAAATCCTCAGAAAAAAAAAAAAAAGAAGAAAAAAGAGACAAGAAAATCCAATATTGCAGTGTTTGCCAGTGGCAGGACAGAATGAAACACTAACCCAGTTCCTTGCTGCTGTCACTCCTGGAATCAGCACAATCCTAAATGCTGCTCAAACATCAGGCTGGCAGCATCTGTGGGATGGGATTAATCCTCAGGACCAAATCGTGTTTTGTCTCATGCAGAACAAAACGTCCTGAGCAGTGACAGCCAGAGAACCAAACCTCCCTTCTGAGGCTGTGCTGAGCAGGAAGGTGACAGCACAGATGTCACCCGAGGGTGAGCTCCCAGCACAAATCCCTGCTGAGGCTTTGAACCAGGCACGGATACCRAGAGTGGCAGAGACCCCGCTGTGACTCTCCCCACCCTCACTGTCCCCAGGGAGGTGACAATGACCTTCCCAGCTCCATCTCAGTGGCCTTGAGGTCCTGCCCTACACCCAGAGCCTCCCTGGCTCTCTAATGATGATGTTCATCTCACCCTTCTCAGCCCTCTGCACCCAAAGGTGATTTTTAATGATGGGAATCATAAAAATTATGCAGGGTGTTGTAGGACACAGGAAGTGGAGCAAAGCTGGGGATGGGGTTTCAGAAACTTGTGAGAAGACAGTGGAAATTTATGGGAATTAAATCAAACTTCTAGAAGGGAAAATGATGCARTTGTCAGCCTCACAGTTAGCTCAACAAAAACCAGACTTTGAGTGAGGCAGAGAATTATTCAGCCTCATACGAGTTAATTCTTCCTTCCAAACAGAAGATTGCGAGAGACACTGGGGAAGGGACCTGAAAAACCAAGGGACACAAAAACAGAATGCAGCTCTCGGGTTTGTGACTCTTCCTAAAYCTTTAGCAGGGAAAACTGCTCCCCTGGCTCTGCTGAGCTTCCTGCTGACGTGATTCACTTTTGCCAAGTCGTCCCTCAGATTATCTGGCTGCTTGGTTTCCCTGGGTTACCATAAAAGCAGCCATCAGCTCCCTCGCAGCCGTGGTGAGGAGATGAGCACAGAACTCCACACAGGGACTCCCCAAAGAGCTTTGAGTCCTGCAGATCAGAGGGTTTGCAAAGATTTATTCTCTTTGTGCTCCAAGGGGGCTGTTGGCGGAACAGAGATTCAAAGGCCACTTTGAAAAAAAAAAAAAAGGGTTTTGGATCCCTGCTGCAAGCCAGGACTTTTCCTTACATATATCAACAGGCAAGAAGGATAAAATTTATGGATATTATGCTTGTTTATGGGGCATCTTTGCTCCCAGCCAAACTCCATCACCTGAACCACCTGCAGCTGACTTTTGCCATGGTCCAGCAGTGATTTTGGAGAGGCATAGAATTAATGAGTGAGGTCTTGGAGAATTTAAGTGATTAAAAGTGAAAAAAAAAATAGGTTAAATGTTTTTCTGGAAATAGAAATATTAATGATAAAAACAGCCAAGAATCAGGACTATTCATAACATTGTAATTGAAAGAGTTTTGGAGAGGAAATGTTCCATTACTGAGATCATAAAAGATTTCTGAACATTGGTCTTGTGTTTTCCCTCATGCCTTTTTTTCCAGATAAGCAAATAAAATCCCCCAAAACCAATGGGACATGGAACGTTGGTCACAGCAGCAGCACAGCGTGGAGCATCCCATGGAGGAGCAGCAGCTGGGAAGTTCTGCCAGCAGGAGTGRGGATTCTGGAGTGGACATGGGGGCAGCTGAGGTTGAGGGATAATTTTAGCCCTGGGTTRTGAYAGGGATTTTTTTGTCAGCACAACCTCTCCAGGGACACAGCCCCTTCCAGCAGGGAGCTGGGATGCTCACAGCTATTTTCTCCCTTCCTTTTCAGGCCTTTCCCTTTCCTTGGGAAGG